ATCATCAACAGGTTTGTAAATCAGTTTCGAGGAAGCTCGCGAGCACGACAACAGATATAAATAGACGAATAAAAAAACGGGGTCAAAACTAAAAAAGAGGGTTGATGATTCGATTCGATTCACTTATTATTATACACTTATTTGTACTTTGTCACTTGCAGATTTATAGACTAAGGTAGTCGCCATCTAGCGGTGGAGTCTGGCACTAATTGCGATTTTCATAAAGTTTTTGGGCAATTAACGTAAGAACTAAACCATTGTTACATCATTTATTTTCAATCGAAATGTTTACACTTGAGTATAGCATTGATCAGTCTTTTTTATTAATTTTTTCATTAAAATTAATTTTTAAGATTTCATTTTCTTGAATCTTTTGCGCAAAATTAGTCAACACTGATAAGTTAATTTCAACAAAGATTTTACGTAAAAGTACCTTGAATAAAATCCAGTATCGGTACTTTAAATTTTACGTAAAATCTGCACTTACTTTTAACAGTGTTACAATTGTTTTCGATTTACACGTTGAATTGATTAAAACGATTTTTCGATGCGCCTACACGAGATCGAGTGCCACGTGCGGAGAGAAAGAGTGCCACCTTTTGATTGATAAATGCGCACCGAAAGTTAATAATATTTTATTTTTACACGCGCATGCAAATAATAAGAGGAAAAACGTACCCTCGAGGTAACAACGGAAAACCGATTTCCTCGATCTTTTCACTCGGCATTTAAATGCAGCTGAGAACAATGATAATAATTTAAAAATCAAATCTCTTCAGTTGATCATTTTAATTAAAAAACAAAGTTGCGTTTATCTACACAAATATCGTCGTTTATACGCATGTTAGTTTATCGAACTTAACATGCAATCTTATAATATTCGATTACCAATAGTAATATTATCGATAACGCTACACGTAATATAATACCGATAATGATCTAACAAATTTTATTATGCATCGCACTTTTTTTCTGGGCATTAGTCATATTTAAGAATATTTCCATGTATATAATAAAATAAATTAAACAACAGCGCCTTCAATTTTCTCACATCGATTCGAGTCAAGTGTGAGTCTGTGTCGATCGATCAGTCGCACTTTCGCGACGATTGATACAGAGGGCCGGCCACGCAGCGCCAGCCATATAAAATCAAGATAAATCCAGATATAATTCTCGTCAATGAGCGCGCGCGAGCTTACAAGCAAAGCCTTTTCTCGCGCGCACGCCGCGATTGTCCCTGCAGCGCACATTCTCGAATGAGCTACTGTATTGAAAATTATATAAAAAAAAAAGAAGAAACGACGAATATAAACGCGACTTAGCGAAAAAGATAACTCGTGCATCGCGAGGCACACGAGTAAACACGTAATAGCGCCGTATAATAACGCATTATAATACCACGATGACCGTGAACGAGGCACGCGACGTTTATTCAAAGTTTACGCGCGCGGCCCAATATAATCATTACACCCACACGCACACACAACATGTAGGCGCACGCATTATGCAGGCGCAGAGGCGGTGCTCTTATATGATTTATGTACACTCGCGCACCAGGAGCTTATTACTATTAAAAGACGCTATTTTTTCACATGGAAAGTCAATTTTCCTTTAAGAAACCTCACGACAACGTCGACGACGATGACGACGACGAAGATGATGCTCGCGTCTCTCGCGTGACTGCGAAGGCCACTATCGCGTTGATAAGATTACGCGTGTACTTTGCTGCGGTATTGCTCTCATTATTTTCGTCTCAGGAGCAGCCCCGGAGCTTGCGAGGATTTTAATCAATTCCTTGCAAAAAATAATGAGGCGACCGATGAGGAGGCCGTTGGAAGAGTCTCAACAGCGCGACGACGAAGACAAATGAGGCTATCGCAGAGATTTCAGGGCGAAAGACAAATTGTCGACAGAAATTTCAACAATACGCACGCCTGTCGTCGCGTAGTTTTTCGATTTATTGAACATTTCATACGAGAAAACAGCGATTGATGATTTATGCCTTTGTTCTGTCTGGAAGAGTGTCTGGTACGCGATACATAGGCGAGCAAACTGCACTAAAACCAACTTGTTTATGATTTAGCTTTGATGAAGGCGAATTTTGGAATTTTCTTTGGCTCGTTTCCAGCGCAGATTAAGAAATTTTGAACGTGAACGGACAGGTTATTATTATTTTTTTTTACATACATACATGCACAGACTATAAACACGTATTTGTGAAATAAATATTTTTTCAATTTCATCGCGGAAACTGCATCGAGAAGTAGTATAGTGCCTGGGTTGTGACACATAACGAATTTACTGCACACACATTTTGGATAAAGTGCACATCAATGCCGAAGGTTTTTAAATGTTATGAGATGCGTGTTAAATGCTCTATAAATAATGTGTGCCGACTGCAAGCTGTAGACCATGCCTTTTTAAAATCAAAGACATGTTGATAAATATGAGTTATTAGTCGAGGAAAATGAAAATTCATTTCCTCCTTTACGAATTGTTTTTACATTAGAACTTTTGGTTATGGTTTCGGACAAATTTTATTAGGTGAACGAATGATGATCGTTTTCTGAACGTCGAAGTGGTTATATTTCAGAGTGATTTATTGGTTTTATCGTAACAATGCTCGATAAAGAAAGGAGGCACTCGAGAAATTTGTTCCGAGAGATCTTTTGAAGATCCGTCCGACTCACCACTACTCGACGTCGAGTAGAATAGCCGATAAGGCCGACGAGCTTCACCTTTGAAATTTGCTTTAGAGCCAATTTGTAAAAGTCGTTTACCTATTAATTGCTATATTTAGAATTATCTTTTACGCTTGTTGATTTTTTTTAATCGTGATACTGATATTTTTAAATCGTTCGTAACGACAAATGTTTGACTAAATCGCGATTTTTTAAGAAAATAATATTAGTTATATTTGATTACGTTTAATAATTAAATAAAAATGAGGTTATTTAGAGAAATCAGTACCGAGTAATTTCTCCATTTTAACGTAATAAGTAAATTAATTTTCAACCTAATATTGTCATTAAATGTCGTTAATGAAAAAATTAATTTTGCGTAAGTCAAAATTGTTTTATTTTTTTACGAACTCAATAAATTCTGCGTTACCGTTATAAATCTAATAAGCTATTTAAAAAAAAATTAATTCAAAGTCACACGCTCGTGGCTCGAGAAAGATATAAATCTTATTTTGCGCTAAATCACACGTAAAAATGTTTGTTGTTGTATTAAGTACATTTTTCCATATCGTTTGGTTGTTAATCAGAGCTGACATAAGTTTTGATGGCACATTACCCTCGTACGACATTTGCCGTGTTTTTTTGCGCAGCCTTGACATTGTTTTTGTACCCCAATTCTCTCTCTATATTATCTTTACTCTTTTTTTCGACTCAATTATACACTGTAAAAATTTTCTTAATTGCAAAGCGAACGGCGGCACTATTTACCCTGTATAAGTTTAACCGCAGTTAATTTTTTGACACTAAATTAATCAATTCGATTTGTGCTTATTATCTCTTTCCGCGTAATTTCGCACGTGTAATCGTTGCGCCTCTTTCTCATTTTTTGGAACTTCTCCCTGAAACTGCTACGAGAATTACCGCTAGGTATTGAAAAGTATGTTCGATTGACGTCAACCGTGAGCTTTTAAACGAGGTCGTTGGAAAAGTTGAGGAAAAAACAAAATATTATACGAGCCATAGGAATTTACTTTTGACGAAGAGAAGCATGATGTCGGAATGCTGTGTTGCACGCTAATTTCGAAGCCGCGCGAAAATCGCACAAAAAGCCGCGTGTACGATCATCGCGGTACGTGACAAAAACATTTTACGCGTTTTCTGCATCAATATTGTCAAAGTCTGCCTTCAAAAATAAATCTCGATCTCTCCAATGAATCATTGTAATAATGATCATAAAAAGGCAAAAGAAAACAGCAAAGTATCAACCGATTTGCAAGAAGAAAAAAATACAAAATTTGTCGATCGACATAATCGGATCGATATTATACTCGCGGTGATATATGTACAAAATGAAACATAACGAGGGTTTATTTCCGCGGTACACACTGCAACGAGAGTGTCGAAACTTTCCGTGTGTGTGTGTGTATGTGCCGAGCCGCTTATCGACTTTTGGCACTGTGGCAGACAACACTGCACACGAGCTCGGTCTACTAACGATCATCGTCGTCGTCGTCGTCGTCGTCGCTGCGCTGCATCATGGCTCTCGGCCAGACGTATCGGTGGCGGCGTCTAGCTCCGAGCTAAAGCTAAAGCATAATAATCTCGGCGATATACAGGTAAATCTCAAGCGGAAATCGGCGGATATGCAAAGAAATTATTTTCGCAACTCGTAATGCGATATAATATCTCGTTGTTATTGTCACGCTCCCTTGTCTGTTTCACTTTTTTCTCTCGGTCGTGACTCACATCGAACACGTCTGTTAAAGTGGTTATCAACTCGCGCTTGTGTGCTCGCGATGATTAATTTTTAATTACTATTGGCCGATTATGTTTGGAGTACATTGTACACGCGCCTTGTACGCCGTCGCGAGCTTTATCAGTCGAGACACGATCGCAGCTCGATCATACGTATACCGAGGTATTTTTACTTATCGCACCGCTACCGTGTGAATTTTTCGCCATTTTTTCTTTTTCTTTTGCTTTCGATCGGCTATAAATACACACAAACCGGCGGCGCTAAAATCGGCTGATTCGATTGTGTACCGCACCCCGCGCCTGGCTGCCCACAGCGGTAGCGCGCGAACTTCTAAACAAATAATTTTACACGCGAATGCCAAGGTTGTCGTTCGGTACATCGAGCCTCTCTCTGCTGCTGCACATATGAAAATCTATTTTAGATCGCCACCGCGTGCATATTTTGTACACCAGCGTGTGATTCATATACACATTATACTCGGCGCAACACGAGCTCATTAAATGCGCAAACGCAATTTTGCCTTCGAATGGGTGAAAATGATCAAAAAAATATATCAAACTCACCGGTGAACTTGATTGTTTTCTGCGTCCGAGTCAGGCTCTGTCCTCTTGCGTGTGGGTGTGTGTGTGCTTCGCCGCTTACTTATTTATTTTTCGTTCAATTTGCGCTTGAATCGAAAACGTTTTCGTACTGTTTCGCTGCGGCACCAGCAATGTTTCATGATTTTTCGTTCTCAATTATATGCGTGCTACGGAGACTCTGAAGGGAGCGACGAAAGCTGCGTGCGTTAACGCTCCTCTCGGTGGTTTCTCTTTTACAGACTAGAAACTTGCTCGGTGCTGCTCTCTTCGCAATTGTTGTACTTGTAATAACCTTCCATCATCGATTATATCTTCGGAGACAAAACAATAATCGCAGTGTGACTCGAATCTGCAATTTTAGGGAAAAACTTTCATTCCGATTTGTGACTCACTCGTAATGTTGATAAATCATTATCAGTACAGTATAAAAAAACAAAATATAATAAAACAGGGAAAAAAAGTCGCGCGATACCAAGCTGTCTCGTGCGCAGCACCAAGTCTTTGTGTTGCATGTACATCGACGTATAGTATAATTACGTATTCGCGCGAGTTCGAAGCAATATTAAATTGCCTTTGAACAAACAACGGCTGCTTCGTCGCGATTTTATCGAAACGTCGAATTGTGTGTGTAAGTATGTGTGTGTGTGTGTGCAGAGCCGAGGAATGTAGTACATTGCTAAGTACGCCGATATAATATACAGAGTCGTACAAACACGTGGATGCATGGCAGACGGTCAAATAGGCACCGTTGCCAATTTGAAAAAAGATACGGGCGAAAAAGAGAGAGAGAAAGAGACATCAGACAATTCGATAATTATTTATTAACGCGTTTTATTGCGGTGCATTGTTTAATCAACGACGCTCGATTTACATAAAAAATTAAATATTTACTAATGAAAAAAACCCTCTGTCATACAGAAAAACCCCGTGCGCACTTTCGAAAACTTTCACACGCACGCACCCGCATCTTATTAATAGCATTAAAAAAAAAAGGTTTATCCCTGCCCTGAACAGCTGTATAATAAATCGATCTCTCTCGCACAGCTGATATTTTCGTCTGTCTTCGACGTTCTCTCGATCGAAGAATAAAGCATCGAGCGCCGATCGACCCAAGTACGACACGCGATTACGAATAATAATTTTCAAAACAGCTGCAAACTTTCTAAGCGCAATTACAAGAGAAAAAAAAAGTTGGATTTGAAATTACGACATACGTGTACGATGCACCTTGTATCGTAAGTCAGGCGACGCGTTTACGAGCGAGCGAGAAAGAGAAAGCGCGAGAAATAATGACTATATAAGAACACGATGATGATCGGGGGAAACTCGGGGTTGCAAATTGTCGTTTATCTGCACGAGCGCGTCGATATAATACATATCGATGAGTAATACATGGTAATATCGACATGCGTCCGAAACGTGCGTGTACGTCTGCTGTACATCAACAGAGTATATACGAGGAATATGAGGTCAATCCCTCTCCTACTCTCGATCGATCGAGTCTAGCGCAGCAACAAAACATTTCCTCCTCGTCGATAAACACGTATACAATAAATAAATTAAACGAATCGAATAAAAGCGTTCGAGTAAGCAAAAATTTTTACCTGCCGTTCTATCACCCTGTTGCTCGGCTCACCGTTGGCTAGGTGTGTGTGTATAGCGTGTGTTTACGTCCGCAACGAGCACGCACAAGATCTCGGATCGTTATCCTCTCGTACAACAGCGAGCACAAGTAAACCAATAATACCAAAATTATCTTACGTAATTTGGCCGTCGATCGCACTACTGCAGTCGATCGATTTTTTCTTCGGTCACTTTTTTCGTAACAACTCGTCGTGTTGCACTTTCACTTTTGTTTTCCTTCAAATTTGTATACGGGTCTTTATCACTACGGATTTTACCGAAAGAATGAAGGAGCGTAAGAGAATTATAAATCACGCACATACACCAAGACGCCAAAACAATGAGTGACTGATCAAACAAACACACACAATATTATTACCAGCAGCAGTAAGTAGCAGTAGCAGCAGCAGCCACACGCCTCAGCCGCACGCGAGTTCGTGTGTACTATCAGAAGTCGAGTGTATTTGGAGGGATTGATACACACACACGCGCGTACACATAAGCGCGCACATGTATTTAGTACACGATTATGTAGAAGCGCGTCGTCGTCTTTGTGATTGTGTGTGTACGTTTATTATATACGGTGTTATTTGAACTTCGCGAGCGCCGAGCAAGAGAAAGAGAGAGAGAGAGAGAGAGAGAGAGAGAGAGAGGAAACACAAAGAACGAGTGTAAGTGTACTTATGTGTGTATTGTAAACACACGGGGGTATTTAAAAGCCGAGAGTGAGAGAAAGACAATAGTGTGCGTGTATTATAATATCTATATAGGTATGTCCGCGTGCGTGCAATTTTCTCTCTTGATGCTTCGAGAACGAGACACGCGAGAAAAAAAATATCTACAACACAACTTGCAGCTGGTGCGACTCTGATGCTGCTTACCACTGCCCGATGCGCGTGTGCGTGTTTTGTGCCTGCTACTTTAGGCTGCAAGCACATCAGCGGTATATAGGTGGTGGTGGTAGTGGTGGTGATGATGATGCTCGGCGCGTGTCTATAGTCGTATAGCAGCTGTTTTCGGTGGTGGTGGTGGTGGCGATCTGTGCATAAGCAGGTAAGACCTCGATGTTGGTCGCCGATGCAATAATAATATTCGAACGTGTGTATACGACCACTGAGCGACGATTGGTCGCTTCGTGTATAGTCTCTGTCTCTTTCTTTTTCACGCACACATCGTTTATGCACGCAAGCACATGCAAAGATACAAATTTAAAATACGTATTTGTATACGTGTGTGTGTTAGTATGCGCGCCTATATACAAGCTTAGTTTGGCTTGTCTTTGCGCTCACACGCCTGTTATATACACTTGCTTTACCGATTCACCCTCTCCTTTTGCTCAGCTAGCCAAGTGCGAGCTTGCACACACAAGCATACGTGTACGTATAAGTGTATACATATACACTTGCGTTGTAATACTTTGTATATTGGCAATAGCCGGACACATTGCCGTGTACACATGTACGTATATTATTTCGGCACGTGAGAATGGAAGGGGACCGAGGAGAAGAGAGAGGGGAAGCTGCTGGTTTATTTACGTATAGAGGTGTTCATGAGCGTGAAAAGCTCACGAAAGAGAGAGAGAGAGAGAGAGAGAGAGGAGACACGTGCGCGGATGCAGCGCTGATCGCGACGTTTTATTAAATGCCCGCGCCTATATAAGATATACACACTGACACACGTGAGGAATGTGATTTCGCCATGTACGCAGAGCCACGCGACGGCGATTCTCACGTGCGACAACGATGACGACGACGACGATGATGATTTTAACGCACTCGAGAGAGCGTCGTGACAATTGAGAGAGAGAGAGAGAGAGAGAGATACGGGTCGCGATCGCGTACGATGATCGATTAGCGATTAACGAATCGAAGAAACACTGGAGGGGGGAATTGAAAGCGTGGATTTTTCAAGTTCGAGCGTACTCACTCACGTACTCACGCGACTCTCTTTTTTTGCGAACGGAACTGTAAAGACAAGATGCGTATACGCAATGCACATCGTGTTGCATACGAGCTTGCAAGCACGTACACACTTATGAGACTTCATAAATTGTTTTTCATAAGAATGAAATGCGTGTGCATGCGCACGTGCGCACCCAGCTCGTATTTATTGGGATTGCATTTTGCAACAACTGAGAAAACTCGTGAATTAGCTGTGCTTTCGTAACGATGAACAAATTTTGACTCGTAGTTTCGATTGTGCGTAGATGATTTCGAATCCGTTCGTGGCTCTGGCGTGCACGAAGCGAGTCTGTTGACCCGATATACAGTCGCGTTGCTACTACTGCTGCGTACACGGGCGTATACATACATACGCATTAAAACAGCTGATTCTCCCGAAGTGTCCGGGAGTGATTGATATTATTTTTAGAACTCGCGGCCCTGCACGTTTACGCTTGCCCTGTTATACGTATGCAAATGCACACCATTGGTCAAGCTTGAAAGACAGAGCACATATGTAGCGCAAAAGAGAGAAACGCGATGGATGCCTGACGGCGGCGAGATGCGCGACGAAAGTGAAATGCACTTTGGCATGCACCGCGTACGAGCTAACGGAATTATATTTGTCCGGATAAAGCTGGTGACAACCGGATCGGGCTTTGTTGATACAAGACTCGACCCGTAGTACTGCGACCTGATCATCTCTCTGCGTAAATTGGCGTTAAATCGATTTGAAACATTAATAAAATTGATTTGCAATTTCCTACTTACGTACTTACGCATGCGTGAGTCGAGCTTTCGATTATCACTGCCAAGTGACGAGGAAAACTTGAGAGAGGAAAAAAGGGTAGCGCGCAAGTATATGACACCATCGAGATATGCGCATTTCTAAATCGAGTACACCACGAGGTGCACTTGTAAGCATACACGAGCGAATTGGGCGCGCTTTAAAAATGCCTAAGCGAGAGAGAGAGAGAGAGAGATTAGTAGCTCCATCTAGACAATTTCTTGGCTCGATTTTTACCAGTGCGCACGATGTTTTTGCGACCTGTTACGACTGTAAGTAAAGTGCGGATAATGAGACTGTTGAAATTTTCGAAATTGTTGACATAATGTAGGGTAGGGGGGGGGGGGGGGGNAAGGGGTATTACTGCGGTTTTTTTTAAGGCTAACTTCCATTTCCATATTTTGGTTGCGTAATAGTAATTAGATACTTGATTTTTTGATATTCACCTCTTAGAGACTCTCATTAATTGTTTTGACCACAATTCTATATTAATTGAAAGAAGAATCATTAAAAAATCTATGTTTTAATGCACAGTGATTTTGCATACATTACTGCGGTATGTGTGTGTATTACTGCGTGCATATTACTGCGGATAGTATGCATTACTGCGGATTTGAAGAGAGCGAGTTTTCAACTTGGGGCAAAAGAATAAAGCATCATAATGAATGAATTAATTATTATTAAATAACAAGAACGTATTTATTATTAAATAACAATATCAAATACAATATTAAAATTATTTTAGGCTAGGAAATTATTGAAATCTAGTTTTAATTGTTTCTCTTGCAAATGTACTCTTGTATTTTGTGCGATGCTTCAGCTACGCTCATGCCCTTGTCCACATTGTCTACCGCTAATGAAACTTTTTCTGCCGGATAATTCAGGCGAGTAAGCTTAATGACATTTTTCTTTTTAATAACACCTTTTTTACTTTGCCCATGACCCTATATCACGTCAAAACAATATCAAAAACAATAACAAAGATTAAGATTGAGGTTAAAGACGCAGCGGCTCACGATGCTAGCAGCGGCGCGGACGCTGACTGTCATCCCGCAGTAATGTGCACCGAGACGAAAAATCGCACGCTAAAACTGAAACTTCATCAAATAATATAAATAAGCTTTTATGAATTAAAAATATTGGCTCAATACTTCTTCAATAGTCAATACTATTATCTTAACTTTTAATTGTTATATCTGATAAACGTAAATACATTTTTTAATCCCTACAATATATAGCATAATATGAAATTATTAACTTTTTTTTCATGTAATAATCCGAGCAAGTATATAGTGATTACACACGCAGCAATGCCCAAAAAAATACAGCTTAGGAGCTCGAAAAAATCTTATTTCAAATATATCTAAGATCAACTTTCGATTTTTTTCCGAGACGATTCTTTAAAAGGTTTTGTCCTAAATATTAACAAGTTCGCAAACACAAATCTACAAACTAGCCGGTCTTCGCCAATGTTACCTGCGATGAGAGAAATCGCACTTCTATCGGAGTTTAAGGTACTATAAGAACAACCTTGTCTGAATCGCTCTGAATTTTCTTGACAAAAAGTTAACCACCGCGCAATCGAAGCTTATGGTAATACTTTTTTGTAGAAACACTCAGAGAGGCTAACATTATGTCCAACGACTCCGTTGGCACCTTCAATGCTATGAACGCTTCCCTGATATAATCGCGGCCAGAAGAACCAAATGCTTTGCTTTTGGATGTGTTTTGTCCCTGCATAAAGAGATTAAGGGGACGCACCTGTGTTTATGCCTGTAAATGCAAAAACATGAAAATTAAGGATTAATATTAAAATTTTTTGTTTCTGGCGTTAAAATATGTTTTTACAGGTCCTTTTACAACAAAAAATATGTCTGTAGTTCCTTTTATTATTAAAATTCATCCAGGATTCATATATATTGAATTGTATTTTTTAAGTCCTTAACCGCATGATTTTGAGAACAACAATTATTCAATTGGATTCCTTTAGGTCTCAAAAGTTTTGTAATTAAATTCTTTTCCACTTAAGTGTAGCAGATTTTTTATTTAGTTATTTTTTTAATCTACTCACCTCCAAATATAGTAATGAGCGCTATTAAAATAGCTATTTTTGTCATTTTCTTTGTACTTTTATATGAATAAAAATTTCCAAGCCTTTTCTTGAAATTCTAGATTTTAGGACTTCTTAAAGAGAGTGGTCGATGGTCCCAAAAAGTCTGAAAAAATTCAAGCTGATTCTTTGAGAACTTTTAAAACTTTTTATCGTTGCACTTTTTCGTTTCAGCACTTCTATATCGATATAGAAATTGACAAAGATTTTTTTATAATGTGGAAAATCCTCCGAAAAATGGCCCCTAAGGCCCATGAGATCAAACTAAGCACAGAGAGCTTCAGTATTGGGTACCGGGAGACCCCAGAAAATTTTTGGAACAAATCCATGACCCGGAGCTGGGGTGGTCTCCTTGTAAGATGACTGAATTTGGTTTATATACATATCTTTTATAATTTGTCTTCATTTATTAATAAAAATCAATACATTTATTTCGCGAGAATCACTTGCTGCGGTCGATGCTATAAGACGATGATAGCATGTTGAAGAAAGAGTAAAAAAAGTGTAGAAAAATATTAAAAAATGTAATTTTATGTTGCATTTTATAATGCATTGACTGTCCAAAATCATACGTAATTTTACATTTTTATACATTTTAGCGATACATAGAATCAATGCTCAATTATATTAAACAATTTGACTATCGAAGAAAAAGATCAGTATAATTGAATTAAATTAATGTATAAATGAAGTTTCATTCCCTGAAGAGTTTTCTACCACTAGGGGAGAGGAGGATTTTTGGCCTAGTAACCCAAGTGACCCAAGTAACACAACTAATCGAGGAAAGTATTTTTAGCCAGGTACCCCCAAGTAACCCAGGTAACCCAAATGACCCCAGTAACCCAAGTATCCCAAGTATCCCAAGTAACCCAAGTAAACCGAATGACCCAAGTAACCCAAGTAACCCGAGTAACCCCAATGACCCAAGTAACCCGAGTAACCCAAGTAACCCCAATGACCCAAGTAACCCAAGTAACCCAAGTAACCCAAATGACCCAAGTAACCCAAGTAACCCAAATGATCCAAGTAACCCAAGTAAC